CATAAACTCTCATCTATGGCACCTAGTATAAGTATGGGAGCCTCACAGAGGATCAAGAAACAGGTCTCCTTTCAGTTGTAGATTCAACAGAATGGAATACCTGATTGGAATGATTGGATCAAAGCAAAGGTTAGCTACAGGTGGAGAAGTAGCAAAATACATAATCAAAATGTACGACCTGTCTCTGCTCCCAAGAAGTTAGCTATGCTGCAACTGTAACTATACCTCGTGATCTCTCTAACTTCTTTTGATCTCTATCCAAGCCAAACTGAGAGTCACTTTAAATCAGTTCTTATTCGTAACATGACCTCCCCAAACTTCCAACATGTTATAGTTACCAGTATTTTCACTTGTCCCATATATTCTTTATAATTTCCCTGTAGGATATTTTATCCTACAGATACGGCATTTCACAGAATTTCCACAATGTGAGTTTTAATCCCTTTTTATAAGAGACCTAAATGAGATTTCCAAAGTTCATTTGCCCACTTACAAAAACTAGGCAACTGATCAGGTGAATGATTTTTAATATTATAAATTTTTCACTGAATTTTGAATATATAATATATCCAAGTAAATATTCAGCAGTCCCTGTATTTTTTATTGATGTGACTTTTATTCCTATCTTTTAAATTATGCACAGTATTTTCCCAGCTCTACAATTTCCCTGTCTTTCAATTTCCCCTAATCAAAACTCTTCTTGCCTTTTTTTTTAGTTGAAGTATAATTAGCATACAATGTTATATTAGTTACAGCTGTACAATATATTAATTTGACAATTCTGTACATTATTCAGTGCTTACCACTGTAAGTGTAGTCACCACTGTCACTATACAATGTAATTACAATATTATTATTTCCCCTATATCGTACTTTTCATCTCTGTGACTTACTTATTTTGTAACCGGAAGCCTGTATCTCTTAATCCCCTTTACCTATTTTCACCCATTCCCTTCATCTCTCCCTGTTTTCTAAATGCATTTTTCCATATTTCTGTTGTAAGGTATGTCATCTAAATAATATTGTTCAAAATACTTCTATTTTGCTAACAAAAACTTTGGAGGTTTGAATAGTATTCTTACTGAAAAAGTACAAATTCTGGTCTTTGTCAGACTTATAGGAGGCAGCATAGTGGTAGCATTTTAACTTATGATTCTATTATAAAAGTTGGCCCTAACAGAGCTCTTCTATTAAATTTCTAGAACAATTTCATTAATATCATATACATGTTATTTTATTATCAAATAGAAATGCAGAAGCAAATAAGTTAATTTATTACTGTTAAGACAGTATCTATTGAAATGCAGCTCTGTACAGCTATTGCCCAGATGAAATGGAACAAATATACTATAAACATACTTTCTTGCTGAATTGCAACTCCAAATGAGAACTACAATGAGCAGCTAGATGAAAACATAGGTATGGTAGCCTCAATAATGAGCTTATATCAGAAAAAGCATCAAATTTCAGGGAAAACCAAGCACTCTGTTCTGAATATCACAGCTACAGCTGCAACCCAACAGATAACTTTTCTGCTTCTGAAATGTGAGAAACACTACACATCACATGTCATCCTTCCACACCCTTCATTTCAGTAACAATAACCACTAGTAACACTGGCATCCTAAGAGAAGTCATCACTGTCGTAAAAAAAAAGAAAGAGGATCCTCATTAAAGTGGTCTTTATATAAACAGATAATATTATCACTAGACAGTGAAATGAGCATCACTTTGTTCCCAAAGCTATAATTTCATTTTACTCTCACTAGACATGAATAGGTCAGTGTTTATTACAAGATAAACAGAGATATGTTCTAACCTATGGCAAATAATTTACCATAGAGCTTTAGTTTCCTTATTTGTTCCACAAAAAATTCAAAGAAACATCCAAATTATGTTTTAAAAAATAATTCAATCCCTTTTTCTTTGATTCCATGTGAAACAGGATAAATTCATATTTAAGAAAATATTCTCTCTAAAACCAACATATTCACATTAATTTACTATTTGTAACCTGAGATAATTCATATATAATATATAAGTAGACATGTTAAGTGACCCTAAGTCTTCAAACACAGACGCAAAAGCAAACAGATTAGTATCTAGACAGTGATCAATACATATTTCTTTCTTCCAGTTCCATATTTCTGAAGAACACTCTGGATGTTTGTAGGGTTTCCCTGCTGCACATTACATCTCTACTAAGGTTTTCGTTAGGAATGCTTTTGTCTATAAGTAACAGAAAATCTGACTTCTAGTGACAAGAATTAATTGAGGATGGGTACTTCTCTCCCATTGAAGAAAGCTTTCCAATACTATTAAACCAGGAGCTCAGAAAAGGTCATGCACCTCATGATTCCAATACTCTTGGCTTTTCCCTCATCTTCACAACGCCTGGTAAAGCCCAAGATAATACTTCTGCTTGAAAGGTAGTGCCACTTTTAAAAAAAAAAAAAAAAAAAAAAAAAAAAGGTAGTGCCAGCTACATCTTTCATTCTTTATCATGACTTCCTAGAAGGTCTCATAAACTTTCTTATACCTCATTTCCTAGAACTGTGTCACAGCCACAGAACTGTGTCCCAGTTGCAGAGAAATCTAAAATTTTTATATTTTTCAGGTCCTTCCATCGGGGATTGCAAGAGAGAAGGAAGTCAGGCTAGCCATTGAACAGGTTCTAGAACAGTCTGCTCTTCAACTAGTCAACGGTCCACATGTGTGTGTACATATATACATACACACATGTTTATATGTATACATATATATGTATGCATAATATATGTATGTATACATGTACACACACACACACACACACGTATACACATTACTCATAACACATTTCACTCCCTCCCAAAAGGAGACAGTCCCTAGTCTCATCTAGTTACAAAAATCTGGCTCTGAATCCAGGATCTCTGAGGTAGAGCAAATCTTTCCAACAAGGTCAAGTGTACCTCATTGTAAACCACTGACTACATACTGAAAGACAAGTTACCTGTTCCCAGCACACTCAATACACAATGATGGAGAAAGAACAGAGTGACTGCAACAGAAACTCTCATCCAAAACAGGAAGAATCAGAAAGATACAGTGGTCAACTATATAGCACCCAGCAATCCCTACATGGACATACCTTCATTTCTCTGGTCACCCTATCTGGTAGCCCCTGATTCAGCTGTCTCCCTTGACTGTTGTCATTCATGTCCCCTTGTTCTGCCCTTTGGGAGGGTGTCCCTTGTCCATTATTCTCCTGGGCTGCATAAGAGACTGGACCTGGTGAGTGTAGCTTTCCTGCATTCCGTACAGTTTGTATCTCCATGACTAGTCTACACAGGCTACTGTGAGGTCAGGGTAGTGCCTTAAAGGCTGACTAGTCACAGGACGTTTGCTACCCACGCTTGGGGTTTCTTTAGCCACTAGCTATATATGGCTATTTAAATTTAATTAAAATTATATAAAATTTCCATTACAGTTCTTCAGCCACACTCACCACATTTCATGGGTTCAATAGCTACCTGTGATGAGAACCTTCCGCATTGATGTTAAAGATATAAAACACTGTCATCGTTGGTGAAAGTTCTATTAAACAGGGCTGCATAAAAGAGTGTCATTAAAAAGTCCTGTTGAATTTTATTTGCTATGTTCCAAACCCACATAAAATTCACATACTTTTATCTGTTAGCCTCTCTGTGGTTTAAAATACAAACTGTTGTATTATGAAATCTTGTCAGTACATGAACGTCATTTCAGTACCTAATTTATCACTGAAAGTCTCATTTCTGGGATAGGTGTCAGAATTCATTATGAAAACTACAGATGACAATCAAACTATTATGTAGCCTGTGTTAACTCTGCACACAAAAGTAGCACAAGAGATTCTAAAGGTTTTAAATTGCCTGACTTACACTAATAAAGTTGGCTGGTGGAAAGCTGGTGGGTTCTCTAGGGAACCTGCCCTGAATTGAGGATGATGTACAGTCTGGGGCAGGTTCTACAATAATTGCCTGTATATCCTCAAAACTGCCTTAAAAATTTAGTAGATTTCCTATAGCTTAAAAAAAAAAAAGAAGAAGGAAGTCACAGTATCTTTTCTTCTGCTCAGAGATTTCATTCTAAACCCGTATCAGTATTTGCCAACACTCATATTATCCCAACCAAGTAACTGAAAACTGAACAGAATAAAAATGCTCCAACCAACAAAAAAGAAGGTACTGTTGGAAGATATCAGCTAAAGGATCTCTCTTTGGGTTTTATGCCAATTTGAATTTGGAAAGCTTGAAAAGACCTCAAGTTTTAGTATGACTCATCAAAAGAATCAGAATAGGAAGATTTTATCTATGTTTGCAGGAAGTTACCAGTCTCCAGAGTAGATCCAAACCCAAATCAGACTTCTGCAGACATTAGCAGATTATTCAAATCCTGCCTGTGGCCAAATTCTATGTACCTGAGTATTTTAAAATTATAATTATATCTAATATCCAACATGAGGATATAAGATAAGTAATTTTGCCAATCTCTAAAACATATTATTAAGAAAAATAAAAATATATCAAACGCTCAGATCAACTATAAACATAGGCTTCAGAAAATCCATGTTCAATGTTATTGAGACTCATTATTACAAAGATTACATCTTTATATTAACTCAGAAACTTGAAAACTCTGACCAATACAATGAGTTTAGAGAACCATAATAAGATGAAAGAAATTCTTATCACAATGACGAATGCTAGAATATTTCCTTTAAAAAAAATACGAAACCAAAGAGGCAAGCTTTTTTAAGAGTCAAATAAAGTAATCAAATTTTCATCTATAATATAATAAAATGTGTTTATCAGTAAAATCAGATAGCATGCTTAAAATATATCAACATATAGCAATTACCATGCACTACAGCTGTAACAAAACACTTAGAAGTGTATAAATTAAATATAGCTAACAAATTAAAATTAGCAATAATAACAGCAAGAAAAAAATAATATTAGACAGAAAAAAAAGACTCTAACCACTTTGTCCTCCTGGTGTGAAATCCACGAAAGCAAGTTAGAAAGGACAGAAAAGACAAAACAAAAAAAATAATAATTAATTCCATTCTTAAAACAAGTAAGAGTTTTTAAGAGTTTGTTAGTGAAATAAAAATTCTGAAAAAGTCTGTTACATTTTGACTGAAATATAAACATTTTAAAAGGAAAATTTTTCCACACATTTCAAGCAAGAGCGTGCCATATACTAGAATAATAAAGATATATAAACAATAGTTTCTATAAAAGCAATTAAATATACAAACATCAGAAAAATGAAAATGTTCTTTCCATAAATAATATCCCAATTAAATACTCAATTAATCCAAAGAGAGAAACTGAACAATGTTAAGAAAATAGCTTTTTAAGTACAGAGACAATAAAACACAGCATCACTGTTTATCTTTAATTTCATCGTATACTGTCAAAAGTAGATAAAATTTTATATGAATTATGCATATTGCTTCTAAAAGTTATTTCTGACCCATTAATTTAGAAACCTTCTAACTTTTATAACAAAAAATAAAAAATTAGAAAAAATTAAAGATAAGACATTATTGATTAATAAAATGGCAAGATGCATGATTTGGTCAAGGGAACACATTTAGATATAGTTAAAAACTATTGCATTTCTCGTTACTTAAATATAATGATAACTGTAAAAGTGGTAACATAATAATAATGATCTGATATAAGAACATATACATTAAAAATTAAAATCATGTGTTTTGAAGTATCACTGTTTCTCTGAAGTTATGGTTAGCCGTATATAATACTTGTGACTAAGAGGAAGGACTAAGAGAGACCTATCTTAAAATTCCACCTTTTTTTTTAAGTAACATTTCTACCTGTATACCTTATGTAATTTTCTTAAACTCTCTAAACCTTTATCTACAAAATAGGGAATCAATACTTTATAGGATTTTACTTTATAGGATTTACTTTATAGGATTTTCTGAAATAAAATAACATGGAAAGCTCTCAATACAGTGCCTGGCATAGAGTTCTATATCTAATATTGTAACCTACTGAAACACAGGATATGCCTAGAAGGGACAGAACTGCATTCTTTACATTATACTGTGCTCTTCATTGCTTCATTTGTTACAAATGGTGAAGATCATATAAAAGCTATTGTGCACCGTCCAGGACATCTATTGCTAATCATTTAGTCCAACAAAAATCATTTATGAAGCACTTAGTTTATTTGTATCGTGCACTAAACGAGATTTCTGGGACATAACAACTAAGTAAGACAGTTTCTGCCATCAAAGAACTAAATGTAGTAAGAGAAAGAAAACCATGCAGAATGGAGAGACCTCTAAAAGCAGGAAAACAACACAGCCCTATAGAAACAGGAATGATGGAGGAGATAACAAGACTTTACGAAAAAGGATTAAGAGAAAGTTTCTGAGAGGTAAGCAGGTCTTTAAAGAATAAAGAAGAGAATGTCAAGCAAGACCAGTAAGGAAGAATATTTTATGCAAAGAACATGAAATATGCAAAAAGCACAAAAGCACAAACAAGACTGGTATATTTGGAATACAAGTATGAGGGAATGACTAGATTATAACTGATATGTTTGAACTGAAGTCTCCATGAATAACTAAAAGCATCACACTTTAACGAAAATTAATTCACACTGCAGAAACTTAAAAAATGAAACAAAATGAAATTATAACTAACAAATTTCCCAAGTTAATTCCTCTGAACAGGTAAATTAAATTTCAGCTATAACATATACATGAAAAACTTAGCTATAAAACATTATGAAATACTGTTGCCATCATATCTTTATTATCTGTCAACAGGAATAAAAAATAAACAAAAAACCTATCATATGATTTATAAATAAGGCATAATATCATTACCTACTACTGACTGAGTCTTCAACTGTGTGACAAAGTGCACACTGATTGGAAGGAAACAAATCTGGAAGCTGAGAGAACAATTAAGCAGATACCGAAATATGGGGTGTCTGGGTGGCCCAGTTAACCATCTACCTTTGGCTCAGGTCATGATCCCAGGGTCCTACCATCAAGCCCCAGGTCCAGCTCCCTGCTCAGCAGGGCATCTGCTTCCCCATCTCCTGCCCCTCCTCCCACTCATGCACTCTCTCCCTCACTCTCTCAAATAAATAAATAAAATCTTTAAAAAAAAAGATATTGAAATTTTGGGGTAAGAAACAAACGTGAGAGCAGTGTGAACTACAGTAGTAGCAAGAGAAATGGAGAGAAGTAGACTGATTTAAGAGATACTGAGAAGTAAGGCTATTAATACTTGAATGAAGAAGTAGAGGAGGACTCCAAGTCTGGCTTGGACAACTGGAAAGAACCATTCCTTGAAAGAAGAAACACATGAGAAACACACTTGGAAAATAATGAATTCAGGTACAGACAAGGTGAATTTGAGGTGCCAATTAATACATGCAAACAGAGATTTTTCAGTAGGAACTATATAGGTGGATCTGGAGCTCCAAAGCTAGTGAAATCATATCTGTAAATCATCAACATGTACCCAGTATTTGAAGCTATAGGAGTCCATAAAATCCCCCCGGAAATTGTTAGAAGAAAAGGAAGAATGACCCCTAATCAAAATGGTCCTTCTCTTTATACTAGCAAGCCTTCCAAGAAAAGAAATTCAAAACAGATTTTACTTTTTTTTTTTTTTTTTTGAGATTTTATTTATTTATTTATTTGACAAACAGAGATCACAAGTAGGCAGAGAGGCTGGCAAAGAGGGAGAGAGGAGGAAGCAGGTTCCCCGCTGAGCAGAGAGCCCGAAGCGGGGCTCAATCCCAGGACCCTGAGATCATGATCCGAGTCGAAGGCAGAGGCTTTAAGCCACTGAGCCACCCAGGTGCCTCCAGATTTTACTTTCTAATCAGATTTTAGTAATACAATTAAGTCAGAAGTTTCACTGTCACTTTATTCGTCAAAAGTGAAATAAGGCTCATTAGTATACTGGAATTGAGTTGCGTGAAAATCAAAGGGAATGTATAAATATAAAATATTGTCAAGGATCTCAGGGCAAAGAGTGATGAAACATAAAAAATTATATTCTGAAATATAAAATATAAATATATGAAACATAAGAAATAACTTGCTGTGGAGAAATATTTTTATTTGAAGCATATGGATAATTTGAATTTTAAAATGTTCTTTAGGGGCACCCAGGTGGCTCAGTTGGCTAAGCGTCCAACTCTTGATTTCAGCTCAGGTCATGATCTCAGGGGCGTGAAATCAAGTCCCATGTCAGGCTCCATGCTAAATGTGGAGCCTGGTTAAGATTCTCTCTCTCCCTCTCTCTCAGCCCCTAGCTCCCTTCTCTCTCTTCCTCTTCTTAAATAAATAATGTGATCTTTAAAAGTGAATTTAATTGACCAATAAATTATTTCAGATCATATTTACTAGACTTGAAAACTCTAATAACTTAAGAGTATGTCCAAAAGTTATTTATTTAAAGTTTAATAGTACAAACATATTTTTATTTAAAACTTCTTTTAAAAAGCTATTAAAAATGTATTTTATTTTCAAATAATTTTATACTCACCATTTATCCCCATACTCACCTCTCCCTATGGCCCTCCTTACTATCTTATCACTTCTGCTAATAACCAATTTACATTGCCTCTCCTGAAGATCAACTGAAGTGTTAATCTACCTTCTCATTATCATTTGTCAGTGACTATTCTTTATATAACTTTCCATTATTAGTTCCCCAGTCACCTGCCAAACAAATGTCAGTTTCCCTCAGACTCCTCCTCTAGATATTCAATCACAGGGTGCCTGGGTGGCTCAGTTGGTTAAGCATCGGGGTCTTGATTTCGGCTCAGGTCATGATCTCAGGGTCATGACACTTAGCCCTACACTGGGCTCTGCATTCCCAGCACACAGTCTGCTTGAGATTCTTTCCCCCTTCTCTTCCCTCCTCCTCTGCTCCTCCCCCTGCTCACATGCTCTCTCTCACTCACTCTCTCACCCTCAAATAAATCAATAAAATCTCTAGTCAGTCTTTCTCCTACTGCTTCGTTCTCTGTATTGCCAAAAAGATAGATTCCTCCCTCTATATCAATGCGATATACTTTCCATAGTTAAACTACCATCACATCTCTCTCTTCTTGCCTACCTTTTATAAGCAATCCTAAACCACCTCTCACACCAATACAATATTACTCCATCTTCTCTGTAAAGTCTAATCCCTTCTTCCAAGAATAGCAACAATTACATAGTGCTTATACAGTTTATCTTTTTTACTCATTTGTTTGCAAGTTTGCACTGCCATCTTCAAAAAAAACATTGTCACGGTGCTGAGTGGCAGCAAGGACCTGGATCAAAAGACAATGCCTATTCCAGAATAAGATGATAAATTAACAGTAAGGGGACTGAGAGAAATAGAGTCACTTAATAGTAAAATATAAAGAGTACTAGATTAGAAGTGTTCAGCATCCACGGCAGCACAAAATTGACATGAGTCACCCAAAGAAAGCATCATGGGGAGATGATACTTAAATCCAGGAAAAAAAGAGTAAATGTTCATCAGGTGGATAAGGGTTACAGGTAGGAGCAGAGTCTAGGGGAAAGCAGAGCTGTAATTCAGATTAAAGTGGCAGGGTAAGCAAAAGCATAAGAAATAAATACGAATAGTGTAGTTTGGCTGGGGCTTACAGAATGGAGTGAAGCACATGCCTTGAGTTAGGCAGGGTACGAATCAGAGGGCGCTTTACGCCATTAGAAACTTCAGGAGTCATGATGACTTCATGAGTCATCAAAAAATGAGTCGTCTTTAAATAGGTTTTAAGCAGAAGGTAAAATAATCAGATTTGCATTTTACAAATATCACAATAGTAATATGTGAAGTATGTGGACGACGAGGAATCGAGACAAGAGCAGAGAGACCCATGAGGAAACTGACATTAGTCCAGGTGAAAGAAAAGCCCAAATAAGACCGCAATTAGTAGTTCATAAAGGTAATGAGGAAATGATTGTCTCCAAACT